GCTACCCCAGGCATCACCAGGAAGGGGCAGAAGGCTGGGGGAGCCATTCATTCCTTCATTCCCTCCCTCCCCTACTCATTCATTCATTCATCCGTGCTTCTCTTCCTGCTGACATCCCAAGAGCCTCTGGGACTACCCCATGCAGGACCACGTGCAGCCTGAGGGCCTCCCCACCTGCTCCCGTGGGCGCCTGGGGCAGAACCGTCAGGGGCAGGTGGGGTGCTCCAGGCCGAGGCGGGCAGAGCAGAGATCGAGCACCTCAGCATCTGACCTGCGGCTGCCGCTCTCTGTCCTCAACCTTGCGCCCCCCTGTTCACCCACCTGCCACCCACCTGCTTAGTCGTCTGCTTCTTAACTCAAGTATGTCGCTAACCCCCAGGCGCCATCCCAGCCCTGGGACCCAGCCAGCGCAGACCAGCCTCCGCCCTTGGGTGGGCGGCAGACGTGGCAGGTGTCATGGTGAATACCACTGGACTGGGAAGCAGATGGGCGTCCGGGATGGTGGAGCCAGGGCCGCGTCAGTCAGCTCGGGCTGCTATAACAAATGACCACGGACTGGGTGGACAAATGCTTGTTTTTCACAGCAGAAGCCTGAGGGTCCAAGACCAGGGAAGGTGGGTGGGCGGGAGTGGAGCCCAGGGCCTGTGGTGGGCTGGCAGCGGGAGCCCTGGGTGGCTGTGGGCCCTGCCCTGGGACCCGAGTGTGAGCTGCAGCCCCGACGGTGTCCTGTGCAGGTGCTGGGAGCCTGCCCTGCCCACCCTGTCCCCAGGACCCCATGCCCCGGCCTCCACCCCAGGGCCTCAGGCCCCCAGCCACTGCCGTCACCCACTTCAAGCATGGGGCAGCCCCAAGCTGGTGCCCATGCATGTGTACCATGGACACAACAATGGAGGTTGGGTTGAGGTCACTGACTTGCTGTCCCCCTCCCAGGTGGTCTCACCCCAGCATCAGCAGGGTTGAGGCAGAGAAACTGCTCCTGTCCAGGGGCCGGCACAGGAGCTTCCTGCTTCACACTGTCGAGCAGGGGAGTGGGCCCAGCCAGGCTGGACAGACCCTCCCCAGGGCCTTGGCGACCTCCCCAGGACTGGGGTAGGGGCCGGCTGGACCTGGGCCTCTCCCTGCCAGCCCCTGCAGACACGAGCATCCGGGCACAGAGCAGAGCTCAGCAAGGCTGCCCACGAGAGAGGGAAGGCCAGGCAGGGCTTCTGGGAGGAGGAGGAGGTGTACCCTGCCTGCTCTGTCTGCTGGGCTTGGGGCAGGGGCCCAAGAGGGTGTGGAGCCAGGGAGGAGGTGGGTGTCCAGGGTGCTGGGAAGGGGCCAGAGCCGTGGGCTGAAGCCTCCATCACTCCTAGATGCTGCAGCAGCAGGAATGCTGGCTCCTGTACCCCCGGGAGGAGGGACAGTGCTCAGAGAACAAGCCCAAGAATTGTTACAAGAACATCCTTCCCCATGAAGAAGGGCAGGCCCGGGTGGCAGGCCCTTCCTCCACCACCTGCACGCATGGGGGCCCATCTGGCAGAAGGTCCTGGGGGAAGCAGGCAGTGAGTCTGCCACACTGCTGTGACACTCTCTTGCACACTCCAGGCCCCTCCCTGCCCACCTCTGTTCCCCTCTCCGGGGTCTGCCCTCCCCTTCCAGGGGATACCACCCATGTCCTCCTGCAATGTGGACGACAGTGTGCCTGGAGCAGACCACATCAATGCCAACTATGTCAGGGTGGGTGTCCGAGGCACACTGCACACATGACCCAGCCTGGACCAGATGGGACATCTTGCACCATGTCTGGCCATGCCCAGCCGCGGCTGGCAGGTCCGGGAAAAACCACGGTCCCAAGGGGCGTGGGCAAAGTGTGGACCCTGGCAGGACAGCAGATATTCAAGGAATTGGTGGGCAGAGGTCCCCATGCGGCCCTCAGAGCAGCTGGACTGAACCCTAGTCCCAAGCCCCTCCCCCGCCTAGACTGCTCGAGCCACCTGGGGCTCCTTTGGGTAGTACCTGCATAGACTTCTGTTCTCCACGTGGGAAAGAACTGGCAGTTGGCCCATTCCCTTTCAGAGTGACCCAGAGGAGGAGCCAGGCCATGGAGTGGGTAATGTGTACATCGCCACACAGGGCTGTCTGCAGGTCACGTGGCTGCCTTTTGTGCCATGGTGCACCAGGGCACGCGTGTCATTGTCATCACCACCACGGAGGTGGAGCGAGGCCGGGTAGGAGCGAGGTGCTCGCTGTCCGAGTGCTTCTTCTGCAGCTGGCCCAGGAAATGACCCTTCCTGACCACGCAGAGGAGCTTGTGCGATACTGGGGGGAGTGGGGAGGGTCCCAGAGAGCCCCGTGCATGCATGTGTCCCTGCAGGGCGCAGGGCGAGGGTGGGCTGTCTGCAAGCGAGGCCGATGCAAGTGGTGCCCGCAGAACAAGCGCTTCTAGCGCCGGCCAGAGCTGCACAGCTGCCGAGTGTCCGGCTGCGAGGACGTGCACAGTGTGGCCGGGGCCGTCTCGCCCTCGCCCCGTCCTCCCGCCGCTCGGCGTGGCCATCTGGGAACTCCACGCGGACGCACCCGCCGAGCCCGGCAGTGTCACGACCCGCAGCACCCGTGCGCCGCCAGCCCGACCCGGGCGTGTGGCCCAGGAGGGCTCTGGGCGGGGCCTGGGCGGGACCGCGTGGGCACCGCAGGTGCGGCGGGGGCGGGGCCTATGCTGGCGCACGTCAGGTGCGGCGGGTGAGGGCGGGGCCTGGGCCTCGCCCCGGAACCGCCACAGCCCGCCAGGTTCTTCCAAACAGCGCCGGCGTCATCGGACGCACGGGCACCGTCATCGTGATTGTGACGTGCTGGACGACATCTGCAGGCGGGGCGAGCCGCGCCGGCCCCGCCCCTCTCTGGCGGCCCCGCCCTCCCCACCTGGCCCCGCCCCTCTGGCGGCCCCGCCCTCCCTTATTGGCACCTCCCCTCCACGGCGGCCCCGCCCTCCCCGGATGGCTCCGCCCCTCCCTGGCGGCCCCGCCCTCACCACTCTGGCGCCGCCGGCCCCGCCCCCAGCGCGCGTGTCCCCAGGGCTGGACGTGACGTCGAAGTCCCGAAGACGGGCCAGCTGGTGCGGCGGCAGCGCTGGGGCACGGCGGACCGGGGCGCAGTCCGCGTCCGTACACCTGGCGCTGCAGCGGGGCATCCACGGCGAGCAGCCGCGCCTGAGCGAGCACGTGGCGGGGCCTGTGCGGGGAGTCACCATGGTGATCTGTTGCCCCTTCCCCCGTGCGCGCCGCGGGAGGAGCGCGGGTACCTGGATGTGGGCGCAGCGCCCCGCGACCCCCGCCGCCACCCCGGCCTGCGCCGCCCCTAGCGTTCGGGCGTGAGTGGGGCGCCGGGGGCGGCGCCGGGCGGGGACCCCCGGGGTCCAGGGGCGCGGCAGCGGGCGGGGGAGGGGCTGACCGGCCGCCCCGCGCGCGCCCCCCGAGGCCCCCGCGAGTCCTGGAACCTGCCGGCGGCGCGGAGGGGCTTGTGCCCGAGCCCGGGAGGGTGCCGGGGTCTGCCCCTCAGCCTCCCTGGCCGGGCTCCCGCAGCGGGGCTCCCAGGTGAGGGTGGCGGAGGGGCAGGGCTGTGACTGGTCCCTGGGGGTGGGGGTGGGAGCCTGTGTGTGTGCAGGCCCAGCCACCCCGTGTCGCCTGTGCGAGTGGCCAGGGACACCAGAGGTCAGTCTGCGCTTGGCATCACTGCGGCGCCAGCGTTCCCCTTCTGCACTGGGTGGACTGGGCTTCAGCCGGCGGCTCGGCCGTCACGGTCACAGGGTGGACTCGTGCTTGTCGAACAGGGCGTGGGCGAGGTGCCCGTGACTGCCTGCACACTGCCGCACGTGCTGCTCCAGCGGAGCCGAGGGCGTGGCCCACAGGGCATGACTGTGTGTGTCACGTCACTGGCCTGTGGTCTGTGATAGCACCGTCATGGAATGGCCTCTGGCCATGTGGCTTTTCAGTAAAGTGCCATGTCCTCAGTTCCGTGTCTTTGTTGGGGCCTCGGGCATGGGTGCATGTGGGTACCCACAGCTGGACCTGGCTTCCCCAGGGTCTCCCTGAACCCCTCCCCACCCTAGCCAGAGGCCTAGCTGGTTGGACCAGGAAGTACCTGAGTTTTAGGGTCAGGGGTGAGGAGGCCGGGCTTTCCTGGCCATGCCCGCCTGGTGCTGCAGGATTCCTGGCTGAAGGCAGGTCGGGGTGGGGCCGCCTCACCCGCCAGGCTGGGCTGGCAGGTCTGCAGGGGCCTGCGTCTGCGCACCTCCAGGCCACACGCAGAGCGGCATCTCTGCACCTGTGGACCACCAGGCTCGGTGCCCGCAGGGCCTGTGGATGCTGCAGCTCTGTCCAGGGCTCCCGGAGGCCTTGGGGCCATGACTCCTTGGGGGTGTGGCCCACAGTGTCCACAGTAGGGGATGGGGAGGAGAAGAGCCCTCCCAGCAGGGCTCTGGGCCCGGCCCAGGCCCCCCCTCCTGCCGGCTCTGCCCCAGGTCCCTGGAGCTGTGGGCCCCGTCCCTGTGGCAGCCAGGCGTCTGACCCAGTGGGGTATCCTTGGGTTGAGGCTGGGAACAGGGCGGGGACCTTAAACCAAATGTGGACACAAATAATTTATTTAAAAATGTACAACTCACAAAAGTCGGAGGGGCGGCTGGGAAGTTTCTGCATGGGTTGGGGGCAGGCGGTGGGGGGGAGATGCCTGCCTCCACTCTGCCCCCTGACCCGTGGGAGGGCCAGATGAGCCCTGCCTGGCAGAGGGGGTTCTGCGGGGCTCGTGATGAAATGTCAAGTACGGGAAGGACGGCCAGTCCTCCTCCTTGGTAAGGGGCCGTCCTCACGGGTGATCGCAGTAAGGAGGGCGGGCCGTGTGGCTGTGGGGCCTTTTGTTCGTCCCACCGACAGGCCTCAGGGAGGGGCAGGCTGGATGGCGGGCAGGTCTTGCGGGGCCAGATGGGGTCCCCCGAGATGATGGTGCTCCTTGGGGGACGACCTCCAGTGGCTGCTGCGCCCTTCAGCCCAGTCAGTGGGGGATGTGCGTGGACCCTAGTTGTCAGTCAGAGGCCCGAGGGAGAAGGTGGCCGTGGCGCTGGCTGTGGCCGTGGGGTGAGGGGGCAGGCAGCGCAGGCTCCCGGTCTTGAGTGCGCACTGCACGGGCCAGAGCACCACGCAGAAGAGCAGCAGCAGCAGGGCAGACACCAGCGCCACGCGCCGCCAGTCCCCACAGCGCGCCCAGCAGCGGGCCAGGCGGCCCTGACGGGGCACGGGGTCTGGGGCAGGCGTGGGCGCGGCGGTCTCGGCAGGCTTGCTCAGGCCCACGTCCACGCATACGAAGCCGGGCGCGTGGCCGGGCGTGGCAGACGGAGGCTGGCAGCACAGCTTCGTGCCATCCAGCCACACGGGCTCCTCGCGCCGCAGGTGCGCCGGCATCCGGGCCTGCAGCTGGCGGCTGGTGCGCAGTGCGGGGGCCCCGGCGGGTGGCACAGCTGTGGGCTTCCTGCAGAACGGGCAGGGCACGGCCTCGCCACCAGGGTGGCCCACTGGCTGGGCGGCCACCAGCCGGGCCAGGCACTCCAGGCAGAAGACGTGGGTGCAGGCGAGTTCCTTGGGCGTCTTGAAGATGTTGTCGTAGCCTGAGAAGCAGATGGAGCATTCCAGGGGGGAGGCCACCTTCTCCGAGCCAGGAGTGCCGGGGGACCTGGGCACCGAGGCCGTGGAGCTGCTCCGGCGAGGGGGTGGCACGGCCGTGTGCCACACCTGCTGGCCGGATGACATGGCTCCGAGCTGTGGGACAGACACCTCTGTGAGAGACCATGGGCTGCCCTTTTCCTTGTGAAATCTGTTCTCTCTCCCTCTCCTCCTCTGCCCAGTTCCAGCCCCAGAGATCCCAGAGAAGGGCTCTGTCCCCCTGTGGGCAGCTCCAGAAAGGTCCACCTAGCCCCAGGGGCCCTGCACCCCAAAGTGCAATCCCGGCTGCCTCCACCTCGTTACACGGCTGTGCCGGGGGAGCATCCCATGGTGCACGGCCATCTGCACAGGGTGTCGTGCCGACTGCCCCGACTGGCCCTTCTGCCTGGGCAGAAATCGGGGTGATGACAAGGGCCCACGTCTGGGCTCTGCAAGGCTGGGCCTACGTCATGGGAGGCTCACGACAGCCAGCGTGGAAAGTGCAGCTCAGAGGGTGGGTCACCCAGGCCAGCAGCCAGCAGGACCCAGGCCCTTACATGCGGCTCTTGGGGGGCCTGTGGCTCTGGCCCCCCGGGTGGGGCTGGGGACCTGGGTTTGGCTGGTGCAGGCTCCACCTGCAGACAGCTGTGCCAGGGTGGGGCGGGGTCTCTGGGGCTGGGGGCTGGGCCGAGCCAGGGGCTGCATGCAGACAGGAAGGGCAGTGGCCAACGGAGGAAGGTTTCTTCCAGCCACAGCCCGTGTGGCCAGCGGGTCTGGTGGCTGTGGCAGGGGGTGGGGCTGGCACAAGCCCCACCCATGCCCTCTGGGGCCCCCCCCCCCACCGCAAGGCTGTGGGATGCCTGGGCATGCAGGGTCTCTTCCCTCTGACCCACTCCGACATCGGGAAGGGGCCCTAGAGACCCTGCTCTGTCTCCTGGCTGTGGCCCAGATTGGCGCCCAGCTGACCAGGGCCAGCTCTGCCTCTCAACCCTCCCTGGCCCATGACTCCATCCCAGGAGCCACAGGTTCGTCTGGCCCAGGTGACTCGGTCACGGGGGTCCTGCCTGGAGGAGCGTGGGCAAGGGGCGACCTGTCATTGTCTCAGTGAGCTCCAAGGCCCCAGCCACGGGACCCTCACGGAGCCCAGGAGGCGGCCCCAGAAGGGCCCCTCACACTGCCCAGCCCGACCCCAGCCCCAACCCCGACCCCAGCCCCAAGGCCAGGCCCTGACAGGTGGGTTGGAATGACTCAGGTGCTGCCGAATCGTCACTGTGACTGAGTCACGGCGACATTGCTGTGATGTCACAAGTGCCCCAGTCACCCGGCATGTGATATCATGACATCCTGGGGACGGCAGTGGCCTCGGGCCAGGCAGCAGCCTTGGCAGGGTCTGGAGACTGTCCTCTCCCGACCTGTGCACCCCACAGAACCGGTTCCTTGGCACTGGGCCCCACCCGTCCACCACAGGGCCCCACCCTGAGCCTGCACAGGTGAGAGGTGAGCACAGGCTGAGCTGCTCTTACCTGGCGGCAGGGGGTCAGCGGGTCCTGGGCATGGTCCTCTTGGCTGGCCACCGTCGGGCTCCGAGGCTCTGGGTTTCCAGGCTCCAGCAGGGTCCACTCCCTCTCCTCCAGGCCCGGCGGCCTGCACTCCACCTAGCAGGTCTCTCTCCCTGGGGTGGCTGCCAGCAGCTGTCCCAGTGGCACTGGTCTCTGCTCTGTCCCAGGCAGGTGGGGCACACGGAATGCTGTGCTCTTCGAGATGCGGAGGCCTCTGAGGCAGGTGTGAGCTGGCAGTGGGGCTCCCCAGTAGGTGTATTTATACCCTCCAGGTTGGGCTGGCCGGGGGTGTGGCCTGGGGCCTCAGGGATTGGCTGTCCTGTCCTCTCCCTGGCGGGCGGTCAGGCCAGGGTCAGGGCCGGGTGGAGCTGGGCCAGTGCTGGCACCGGGGCTTGAACAAAGCCCCTGTCAGCCCTCAGCAGCAGGTCTGCTCCAGGTCTCTGTGGACCCCTGAGCTCCTGGACGGGCCTCCTAGCAGGGACCTTCCCCTGAGCCTCAGAGTAGCCAGTGGCACCAACTGTCCCCACATACCCTACTGTGTGCTCAAGGGCCTAGTGTGGCCCCAGCCGCTCTCCATCCCTCCCTGAAGTGTCTCTGCCCTCGGGCAGCACAGTGGACCTCAGCCCAAGAGCAAGTCAGACTGGGGGGGCATGGCCACCCCTGCCACCACTGTGGCTGTAGACCTGGGCCCAAGATGCGGGATGTCACACGCAGTAAGGCTGGGAGTGGGGCCCGTCCTGGTGGGAGAGATGGCCCAGCCACCCACAGGCTCGCCTCAGGCACCTGCCACCACCTCCGCGGTGGCCTGGAACCCCAGAGCCCTCCCCTTGCTGTTGCTCCCGGGCACCCTGGCACCCAAGGCTGGACTCTCATGGAGGCTGGGGGGAGGGCAATGGCCATGGTTGGGGGGAGGGACTAAGACTCCTCAGCCAGTGCCATGGGGGGGGTCTCAGCGAGGGGTCTAGGTGGGAATCCGGAGGGTGGGGTCTCCACGGGTGGGGCTCCGTGGGGATGGGAGTTCCTGGACGGGACTCTGTGGGGCATGGGGGTCCATGGGGCGGGGCTGCTATGAGGCTGCTATGATCCATCTGGATCGTGACTCTGGGTCACCTGCCACCTCCAGGAAGTGGCCCTGGTCCCTGCCACTCTGAGAACATCCTCCTGAGGGCTCTTGGGAATATCCGAGCTCTGAGGTCACTCTGGGCTCCGTGGGGGACCGTCAGTGCCTGCAGGCGCAGGTGATGGAAGACCTGAGGAATGCACAGTCTGGGACGGGCTGGAGCTCGCGCAGTGAGCCGGAGGCACCCCGTTCCCAGACCCGGGTGGGAGCCACCCCCACGAGATCTCAGGAGGCTCAGGGGCCGGCAGTGGAGGGACTTGGCCAGCTGTCCAGGCAGTGGGCGGGGGGGGGTCCCCCTGGTCTCTCCACCTGGGCCAGTGAATGCAGAGGCAGGCGTGCACCAACACACCACGTGGCTGTTGGAGACCCACATGCACGTGTGTGAGGCCGCGGGCCTCCTCCCCTCGACCCCACAGTCCTGGGGCTCCCTCGCCATGGCCCTCGCTGACACCCTGCCCAGATGTGGGCTGTACACAGATGTTGTCCTCGGCCAGGGGAGCAGAGAAGGGCTCACCTCCTCTCAGGACTGTCCCCCACGCCTGCCTGGCCATGGGGCAGACCTGGCTCGAAGTCCCTGACGCGCCATGCCTAGGGGACACGGTGTGGCCAGCGTGGGGAGAGGCCCTCCAGGCCAGGCTCCTCGGGGATCCTCACCTTGGGCCCAGCCCCCATGCCACCTGCCCCGGGCTGGAGCACCTGCTGACCACTCGGGTCTGTCTGCCCACCCGCAGCTGTTCTGTGGCTCCAGGGGCCCAGGTGTGCAGAGATCTGGGGCACCTGGGTCCACCCTCTGCGTGGAGGGCCCAGCCAGTGCCGCCCTCCCCTGCCCAACAGCACACCTGACGCCAGACACCCCTCCCTTGGGCCCAGCACCCAGGTCCTTCCTGGCCCACCCAGTGCTGCCCGGTAGGAGCCACGAGCGAGTGGGCAAGGGGGGCCTGGCTGAGGAGACGGCAGTGGGGACCTGCTGCAGGGAGGGATATGGACGTGGCCTCGGGTTTTCAGTTAGGGCCGCTAGGTGGGAGGAGGCTGAGAGGACCCAGAATTAAAAGAAGGAAGGGCCTGGGGGGCCCCCAGAGGGGAGGTTTCTGGGAGGCCGAGGGCGTCTTCCCCTCCTGCCTCCCTCTTCACAGGCAGACTCTGGGGGAGAGTCGGGGGCGCCCACGACACAGGGGTGTCTGGGTGGAGCTGTGGGTGCTGGGCTCTCGGAGTGGCCCCGGCCCTCTCTCTCCAAGACCAGGCGACCCCGCCTGGCCCCCCTGGAGCCCCAGCGTCCTTGCCCAGACCGAGCCACTGCACAGCGTCCCTCACTCTTCTCCCCAGGCCTTAGGACGTGCCAGAGGCTGATACGGCCTCATACACAGGAGGTGAGGACAGCAGTGCCCCCGGGGGCAAAGCCTAGGCCCCAGCCCATTCAGCTGATGTGGAAAATTGGGCTCTCCCCAGTCCCAGGACTCCACCTCACAGGGTCTGGGGCCTCACTGGCCATCCCTCCAGTTCCCATCGGAAATGACACTGAGGACCCCCTGCCCCCACTGCCCAGAGCAGGCTCAGCCTGGCTGGAGCCACCCATCCCTGCTGCAGACATGGGCACAGGGATGGGTGTGGACCTGGGGCAGCCAAGCACCCTTGTGAGTTGCAGAGAACAGGTGGTTCTGGGGGTCAGTCTCCCACCCTGCGCTGTGGGCACTGGGAGGCCAAGGTCCCTGCGGGAACCTGGCAGCTCTGCGAGGCTGCGGGCTAACTGGGCAGGTGGGCGCTCCCTGGCGGCTCATGGCTCCTCACGTCCTATCTTGAGGGTAGGATCCTTGGTCCCCAGGACAAAGGGTGGCACCTCAGGGAGCCTTCGTGTGGCCCTGCTGGGCCACAGGGCGCAGCTCCTTGTAGGGGTCAGGTCTGCGGGTCTGCAAGCCCCACACCCTTGCCTGGAGGGGTGGGGCCCAGGACAACGCGGACACTCCCTGGGCGCAAATCCCAGGCTGGAGTCCCAGGGAGGCCCGGGGTGCAGTGTCTGAAGACACGGCCCTGCAGGCCAGCAGATGCTGCCCCTCCAGCAGAGGGCACAGTGACGAGAGCAGGCACAGGACTCCATGCAGACCCCAGCCCTGCCCAGCTGGCCAGCAAACGTCCCCCGGCCCCCAGCCTTTCCAAAGAGCTGTCCACCCCTGAGCTTAGGGGCAACTGCTGGGCTGGGTTCAGGGTGGCAAGGGGCAGCAGACCCTGCTCTCCCCAAACCGCCCCTTTGCAACTCCTCCCGGGGTAGCTGGTGGCCGCCCTGAGAAGCTCCGTGATGTCCTATCTGCATCCCCCACTAGGCCTGGTGGGTTTACAGAAGTGCCCCAAAGGCACCCACACTCTGTCCCACCTGAGATGTGAGTTGGGGGGGCTTGGGGGCCACAGGGTTGTCCTGCTATAGGAGGCAGGTTAGGGAAAGCCCCGTAAGGTGAGGTGAGGCTGCATTTGGGGGAATGGGCGTGGCAGAGGATGTGGGGGGGCGCCCTGGGCTCCTGGCTCTCAGGCCCCCAGACCAGGCAGCAGATGGGGCGTCCTGGACCCAGCCCAGGGCTCCTCGACCCCACCCCCGTCTCCCTGTCCCCAGCACACAGTGGTGGCTGTGGGGCCAGGTCTGGTGGGGGCTGCACCCGCCGCCCCCGCACTTGCAGAGAACCGAGGTTCCCTGGGACGCAGGCGGCCATGGAAGAAGCCAGCTCCAAATGCGGTTTACTTGGCGCGCCTTTGCATGGGCACTCCCACCCACCGCCGGACCTCCAGCCCGAGTCTTGGGGAGCTCAGCACGGCAGAGGAGCGTGGGGCCCCCAGTCAGGCCACCCTCAGATGTGGACCAGACTTTAAAAGAGATGATGCCGGTAGCAGCAGAGGACCTGGGACCCACAGCTGAGCGCCAAGCCAGGGTGCAGACGGTGGCCACCAAGGCGCCTTTCTCCACGGGAACCCAAGGGCTGCCTGCAGCCAGCACACCAGAGATGCGTGGAAGCAGTAGCTGGTGGCCTGGGCAGCTGGCAGGACCCTGGGACTTGGGCCACCAGCCAGGCCTGTGACCTGTGGGGTGTGGATGCGGACGGCCGTGGTGCCCACGTCCCTGTGGGTGCCCGGCCTTGAGCCCCGGCAGTTGCAGAGCCCATCCCTGGGTGGATGAGGATGGGCCTACCTGGCCCAGGCATGGGGATCAGAGGGACAGCAGAGCCTAGAGGACTTTTCTGCTTAAAAACAGAAGGAGGCCAACAGGAAGCCAGGACACTTGCTCCCGCCGCTCCTGGAGGGGTGTGGTCCGCACGTGGTGCTGCTGCAGGGGCCTGTCCACAGGGCTCCGGAGGGCACAGCGGCTGAGCCCCTGGAGTAGCCCGGTGACCCTGAAGGCCGTGCAGGTTTGGCCGTTTGGATCGGCCTGCATCTTGGCTGCAGGTGCGGGGGCCTCGCTGTGTCTCCCCAGGGGGCCCAGACCCCCACGGCCTCACTCCCAGCCCCGAGGCCCCACAGACACCTGCTCCTGTCCCTGAAACCACGAAGCTGTGGGAGGGAAGCCGGGACCTCCAGGTGGCCAGATGCCCACTCAGCACCGATCTGGCTGTGTCCAGGCCCATCCAGCCCCGGGCAGCACCGGCCCTTCGTGTGCTGAGCAGCAGGTGGTGCCATCAGGTCCTGCAGGTCACACGTTGCTAATTCGGGCCTCCACCGAGGAGAAGGCAGTGGGGTCCGTGGCCCTGTCCGGGGGCCGCTCGCGCCTGACATAGCGTGGCTTCCGCACTGAAACGGGGTCAGAGACGGGCTGGGTCACAGTGGGGTCTGGAGAGCAGGGACAGCTCGGTCTGGGCCCTCGAGAGGCTCTCGGGAGCAGGTGGCACAGGCGTGGGGGCTGCGCACTCTGTCCCCAAGGCTCCAGCTCCTGTAAACGCTCCTGGTGAGCCCGACCCAGCCGTTTCCCCTCAGTCAGACCCAGGATCCTGCGCCCTGAGCACCCGGGCCTCGGTGAGGGCTGAGCTGTCCCTTAGGGGAGCTGGTCACATCTGCATCTCGCATTGCAGGGGGGCTAGATGGCGCCCCCGAAAGGTATGACACGTCCTGAGCCCTGCAAATGTGACCTTACTTAGAAAAAGGGTCCCTGCAGATGTGATTAAGTTAGGGTCTCAGATGAGAACGCCCAGGTGGGCCCAAGTCCAAGGACCAGTGTCCTCTGCAGAGGGTGATGGAGAGAGGAGGGACGTGGAGCAGAGGTGGTGGCTGTGCGAGGAGGAGGAGGCAGAGACGGGGCGAAGACCCTGCCAAGGAGCCTCCGGGGGAGTGTCCCTTGTCCCACACACCGTGATTCCTCATTCCTGCCTCCAGGACTGTCAGAGACTAAAGGGCTCTTGTTAAGTCACCCAGTCTGTGGAGCTCTGTGACAGCAGCCCCAGGACACAGGCTGCCCTGGGAGACCAAACAAGTGCCCTACGGAATGGGGCAGGTCTAGCCTTGATCACGGAGCTATTCTGTCCCCGAAAAACAAGGATATTGTCACCTGTGCCCCACACCAGACCTCTGCACGGTGGGAAGAACACAGGCTGGGGAAGGAGCTGGGGAGCTCTGCTCGTGGCCGTGCAGCCGTGTGGCTCTGGGCTCCCCATCACCCTGTGCTCGTGGCCTCTTCTGTAAAATGGGTCCTCCCCAGGCTGACCCAGGCCCGTCCGACCAGCAAAGCTGAAGAACAGGCTGCCCGGGAGGGCTGGGGGGTGAGGCCAGGTCCAGCCGGGACCTGGAAAAGGTGCCGGGAAATGGAGAGGGCCTGGGGGATACCCACCCCCACGGGCTCAGCATCTCAGGAACAAAAGGGAAGGGCCCAGAAGCCATGGGGGTCCCAGGGGGCACCTGCCAAGCCTGGCCTGGCCTGGCCCTGCCTCGTGGAAGGGTCCCCGGGAACCCCAGGAGGGTGGCTGAGATCCCAGAGACGGGCGTGTTTGGAAAACCCGTGAAGAGCCCTAGGTCTGGCACTTTGAAACTCGGGCCCAGAGACGAGAATCCCCAGGGGGCGGGGCGCTGCCGTTACCTGAGGACTGAGGTGGGGGGATCATCGCAGCCTTGAGAAAGAGAAAAAGACCCTGTGAGGACGGCCCAGCACCGGCACCCACCCGAGCACGCACAGCCGGGGGACGCGGGTTACTTACGGCTTCGCCGGGCTGCAGGGCCGGGGCTGCGAGACAAGAAAGTGGCATGTCACTGGAGGGCGACGGCACCCGAGGGTGAGAAGCCGCATCAGTCCCAGGCGGGGCCACCCAGCACCGCAGGGCCGGCAGTGGCGCCCAGCCCCAGGCGGGGGTCCGTGGGCCTGACTTTCTGCACCAGGTTGGCCGCCCTCGACCCCAGGAGAGGGAAAGGAGAGGACACAGCGGCTGCGGGAGCTGAGAGCCACCTGGTCCCCACTGCACCCTGCCTGCACAATGGCCTGCGGGACCCCGAGGTGACCCCTGCCTGAAGGGCTCAGGGGAGCTCCGGACCCTGAGCAAGGCCCCTTGGTGCTGAGAGTAGCGCCAAACGCCCGCCCTTCACACAGGGACCAGCCAAAGCCCCACGGGAACGTTTCCAGGAGGTGTCGCAGGTGCCGCCACCTCTTCCCCGTGAGTCCCCCTTGCCAGTCTGCTCTGGGCCTGGACATCCCCCACTGCAGGCCACTTCCATACGGCGTCCCCGCCTGCCTGCTCTGCAGCCGCTGGCACCACGCAGGACCCTTGCCCGCCCGCCAGGTGTGCACGGGTTGGGGAAATACCTTTGCTTCTCCTGTAGAAGACCCTGGGGAGCTTGCTGGAGCGCTTGAGGTAGAAGAACCCAGCCACGGAGAGGATGAGGCCGGAGCTGATGAAGAGTGTCCCCAGGAAGAGGGAGGCTGCCACATGAGGACCTCCTGCAAGCAAACCAACCTCCGAGAGGGCCCTGGAGCACCTGACGCCCGGGATGCCCACCATGAGAAGACCCGCTGCTGCCCGAGCACACCTGAGCCTCACAACAACCAGCCTGGGGGGGAACCGCGGGCTCCGCATGTGGGCTCGGGCCACCCCTGCAGCCTCAGCCACGCCGAGACGTCTGGCCACAGGTCTGGGGAATGCACATCCTCTCCTGGCCTCAGCTGACCTCACAGTGCACTAGGACGTCGAGAGCATCACAGGCGCTGGCCCAGGCCAGGCGTGGGGGAAACATCTCCCCACTTCTAGGTCCTGAAAGCTCCTGGATCCGGGCTCAGCACAGACCTGGGGCCCCAGGCCCTGGCGCTCAGGGGCACAGCCTTCAACCTGCAGCAGGTGCTCCCACCTCTCAGACGCTGCCAGCCATGCACCCTTACCTGTTGGGGGCCAGGACAGGGCCTGGTGGCCGAGGGCTCTGGACAGTCAGTGACAGTCCACTGCGTGTGCTTTTAGGTGCTGCGGGAGGTGACTTTCTAGCCCTGAGACACAGGAGTGTTTGCCACGCCGGGGGCCTCGCCCCATCTGTGCCACAGGAGGCCAGGACCTGCCTGAGCTCCTTCCACACGAAAATGCCGCCACTGTGTGGCCCAGGTCAGGCTGGGCCTGAGGGCAGCTTGCAGCCCTGACTTTCTGATGAGGGTGGGTCTTGCCCTCAACAGAACCCTTGGGCCAGGCTCCAGGTCCAGCACGTCCCCTGCTAAAGGATGAGGGTCTGGGGTGACATGACCCCACAGCCACCCGGTCACTTCAGCAGAGGTATCCTCACCCTAGGGCTGGCCCTGCTCCAACTGCAGTCACCCTCTGCCTGGACGCCATGGCCCACAGCCCCAGCACCACCCCCACTCACCTGGCCACACCTGCATCTCAGGTAGGGTCCGAGGCCAGGGAGACATGTCTGCCCAGGAGGTGTGGACGTCCTGTGTCCTCCCCTGAGGACCAGGCATGACAGCCCCAGGCCCAGGCGGTGTGGCGGACATTTCTTTCTGGCATGTGTATTTGCAAACTGTCTCCTTGGAGCCCCACACCCTAGAAGAGCCCCTCAAACTTGCAGGAGGACCTCGGAGAGCCCGTCCTGCCTTCCTACAGACTGAGGCTGCTGAGGCCAGTGGCTTGGAGTGGGGCAGAGGCAGCCCAAGCTGCGCCAGTGTGAGTGTGGGCGTGTGTGCCGTGGCCGTGAGCACTTCCGCAACGACAACCCTTTGGTTTGGCCCGTACCAGCTGGACTCCCTGTGGCCCTGTCTCCTGACCACGGCCCAGCCACATGGCACCCCCACTGGGCCTAAAGTTCGGACGTGGCCCAGCTGTGGCCAGCGTCAGGTGTCAGGGTTTGCACTGGCAGCGGCTCTGACAAGCACCCCACGCCCAGGACCCGGGCAAGGCGGCTCTGGAGCCAAGAGACTTACCCAAATGTGGCCGTCCAGGGCTCCCCGTGCTCCTGTTCATGGGGAGTGGCGTGCCCCGGCTGGTGACTGCGGGAGAGGCACTGTGGGAGGGCCGGCCACAGGGACCCCACCGAGGACCCCCACATATAGCCTGCAGGGGATCTCGGGGCCGGATATGTGGAATCAAGGTGGCCACAGAAGCGCCACCCTCACCCACAGCCACCCACAGGGACTCGGGAAGAGAGGGCTCCCAGGGCGTTCACAGGGGGACAGGGGCTGCGGGGCATGGTGGGGCCAACCCCGCAGCCGTGGGGACAAGGACCTCGACTCCCACCGATTCTCCCAAACCGGGGACATGGACCCTTGGTGAGAAGGGGGGACGTACGGCTTCTGCACTCGGAGCTGTTGTGGGCCGGAGAGGTTGCGTTCCAGCAGCGGATGCAGCTGGCGCTGCCGTCCGCGTTCCAGCGCCTATAGCAGCCTGCGCAGGGGAGGAGCAGGGATCTCTCAGCTAGAGCACCAGCTGCGTCAGCTCGCTGTCTTCTGGGAATCTCTCTACACTCTGAGTTTGTCAAATAACTTTCATTCAAGGACACTAACATACTGGAAGTTGAATGACGCTGGGCTCTGAGCCCAAACTCACCTGACAGGCAGTGGGGAAACCGGAACCCAAACAAACAGGTGCTGCCCCGGGCCTCGTGCTCTGGACCAGAGCCGGGCCTCCCTGCCCAGCCCTCACCCCTCGGCCCCCGCGGCACTACCACCTCCAGGGCCTGGAGCCCCCACCTCACACATAGGGCGCCCCTCACGCGGCCCCAGGCAGTACAAGCCCTGCCCTGCTGCCTCCACCCAGCTCAACCCAAGGGTGGTCTGTGGCCCCTGCACCCTGGTGCCTTCCCCCGGGGTCTCTCCTGGGGACTCCCTGCAGGACCAAGCCAGACACATCCCAGAAGGGCCAGCCCAGGCCCTTGCTGGCCGGCAGTTTGTGGACAGTCCCTCTTGCCAGCTGACCAGGGCCCCGAAGGGAGGAATCGAGTCTTACATCTTAACTTTTTTAACATCCCAAAGTTTGCTCAGCGCTGAGCAGACATACGTTCAACAGATACCGACTGCGGCACTGAACGCAGCGCGGGGACGAGCCACACGCCTGGGGCCTCTCGTGATAAACTTCGCTGGTTTCATCTGAACACTCGGGGCCACGGTGAGGAAGGCCCTCTGCAGACACAGGGCAGCATACCGACACCAGGTGAGACATCGGCACAGGTGCCACAGGTCGCCCTGGCGGTGCACCTTGTGGGAGAACCCAAGTCCAACCTCTGGTCTGGGCTGCCTGCTCTGACATGAATCGGCACCGTGTTAGAAATACGGTCCGGCTCTTTCCCTCCCCTTGGCATTGCGGGGCAGGTGGACCCCACGGGAGGCTCTGCCCAAGAGCCCAGCAACACGGGGCCCACAGCACAAAACTGGGCCAACAGAGCGCCCCTCCGCAGAGACAACCCCCACCCTGTGCTGAGAAGTGGCCGGATAATTCCCACCCCTGCACCCGTGCGTGGAGCTGCCTCGGCCCTCAGACCCTCGGGAGCTCCTGCTCTCACACTCAGCCCCTGCACAGGCACTGCGGGCCCTGGCTTACCAGTGGTCCACAGGGCGTGGCCGTGGCCCAGCTGCAGGACTAGTCAGAGGCCCCAGGTGCTGGCTTCCCACCCCCACCATTCTGCCTTAGCAACTGCACTCTGCTTCCTCCCTCCTCCTCGGCCTGGAGCCATCGCTGCCTTCCCGTGTCCCCGTGACCCCCACGCCCCACTTCCTGGGGTCTCAGCCTCCTCCCGTGGCACCTGAGCAGTGTCCTGGGCGCTGCCCCCTGTGAGCAGCCCCTCTGGGCTCACGCCGCTCTTCCTTTCTGGGTGGGCTTGCCCAGGACGAGAGCACCAAGACTGCCCTCGGAGGGACCACCTGAGCCGCACAGGGAGACTTCCGTCCTGGCATCTTCTCATGACTGCGGGCCCTGCCCCTGGCTGCCCCCGTCAGCCCCGTCCTGGTCTCCAGAATGTTCCATGGAGCAGGGGTCTCCCTCTCTGTACGCAACACTGGTCCAGCACCCTCTGTGGTCGGCTGTCCTGCGTACTCAGGCTGTGGCACAGGTTCCCTGACCCCACCCACCAGGTGCTGGCAGCACCTCCCCCCAGCAATGACAAATAAAAATACTCCCAGCCTCTGCCAGACGGTCACCTGGTCACCCCCCAGCCTGGCATTCTTTCTGGGCTGGCCCCACGGCTCTCTGCAGAGTGTTTCCTCACGGCCCCCACACAGGCTGCCCTGGGGGAGGCTCAGGTGGCCCTGTGCTGCCCCTGTCACCTGCAGCTGTTCTTGTCACCTCCACCCCAGGCCCCTGAGCTCCACAGCACACCTGAGAAGGTGTCCTTGTCACTGCAGAAGGGAGGGATGTGGCAGGCACACACTGGCGGCTCAGCAGCTACTCTGGGGTCTGCTCGTGACAAAGTGGCTTACCTGGGCCACAGAGACTTGTGCCCGGGCAGGTGGCATTGATGTCCACCACATCCACACCCACACAGCACTCGGGCTCCTGGGCCTAGAGGGGAGACAGTGGTGAGACTCTGGGACGAGGCCAGCCAGGCAGCCGCCGTGCCCAGCACGGCCCTGGGCAAGGGTGTCCTGGAGGTGCGTCTCCACTCCCATGGCTCCAGCCTCCTCTGGAGTCAGAAGTGGTGACCCTCCATCCCCCGCTGGCCCGGGAGTGAGGCGAGGACTTGCGGCCACCCACAGTCCCCTGTGGGAGCCCCAGGTGGGAGCCTCCCAGGGAAACCTCGGCCTTGGACAGAGTAAACCAAAGCCTGGGGAAGGGACAGATGCGGCAGAGGCTGGGGCCCCACCGCACCCGACTACAGACCGCCGCCTCGCACAGGTCCCTGCCTCTCCTCCTCCTGGCGGGTGCTGGGAGCCCTCGAGGGCAGGGCGTGTGGCCAGTGAGCATGAGGCCTGAGTAGACCACTGAGCAGTGGCCGGGCCTGTCCAGGGTGCCCAGGTAGCCCCAGACTCCCAAGGCCAGGAAGGAGACTCCTGGGGCTGGTCTGAACTGTGGTTCCCAGCCCACCCAGACCGGACCCTGCGTGACAGGACTGGGTGACAGGGCTCAGCTCACACTACCCACAGTATGGCCCCTCTGCATGTGAGAAGACAGCAGAAGCAGGAAGGGCCTCTGACCTTCTGGCCTTCTCCCGAGGCCGTAAGATTCACAGTAGGAGGTGCCCTCCCTGTGCCTGAGCTTCAGGACGTCCTTCTCTCGGAAGACTCGGGGTCCCCCAGTTACGCCCATCAGATCGCACCCTCTGTCCCAGCAATGTCCCCGCGACTGCCCACTTCTTTCATCAGACTTAGCGCAGAAGACAGGTGTCCCTGTCTCTTTCCCTCTATTTAATCGTGACGGCTCCCGCGCCACATGAAACTTACATCAAATGTGCTTTTTTCTTGTTAATCTGTTTTTTGTTATATTAATAGACGCTCCAGCTGTGAACCTAGCAGTGGTGAGGAGAAATCTGTCCTCCCTACGGCGGCAGGGAAAGTGTTCCAGCCCCGCCTGGCACCTGCCCAGGCTGCTGTGCTCCTGCGCCCTGCGGGGTCTCCTCCCTCCCCAGCCCCGCACCGCCTCTCTGCTAAGCTCTCCGGCTGCCTACCCTGGAGACTCCTTTGTGGGAAAAGGAAGCACGTTTTTCTAGACTAGGGTGAAATGAGAGCACACTAGGCACCCCAACCCCTGGCACCTGGTGTCTGCCCCACGCCCGCCACCAAAGGCCGTGGCACCCACGGAACATCCACCCACAGGTCACGCTGGCCTCGCTGACATCCCCGGCAGGCCTCTGGATGGCCCCCAGAGGAAGTGCCCCGGCCAGGCCAGCGTTTTGGGAGGGACGAACTCACACCTGTGGCGTCCGTGTGCAGCATCGATGTGCTCAGTGCTGGCATTTATGCATGTGCACAGGCCTGCGCCCCAACCACAGGGCAGGCTGGGCAGGCCTGGGGGAGTGTCCAGGGTGACCTCAGCTTGTGTGTTTGTCACAGCTGGGCTTTCGCTTATCGTGACCTGAACGTGGTGAACAGTGAGGCGTCCAGGGGTGACTGAGGGAAGCTGGGAGTGTCTCCACCAGGGAGGGACCCACGCCCACGCGGGGCCCAGTTTCTCACAGTGGCCTTCGCCAAGCCAGTGAGGGTGCCCCCACCCCTCCTGCCCACGCCCTCCCTGTGAGGCCCCCACCCGTCCCTGGCTTGAGTCCAAAGCTGCTGCTGTCAGCTCTTCCAGACACCAAAGGGCAGCACACTGGTGTCACTGGCTTGGCAAAGCCACTCCCAGCAGGAGCCAGGACACCCCACCAGGGGACCCTGCCCCACCCTGCCCCTCTCCTGAGCAGGTGGTAACCCGGCAGACAGCCCGGGGCTCTGGCCAGTTCCAGCTGGGGTAGCTCTGTAGAGGCCCTATTTTAGCTACAGCGACAGATCCAGTCTGGCAAAGAGAGAAACTTCTAGAGGGCGGAACAGAACAGGGGCCAGGCAGCAGGAGCTGTGTGCATGCCGCCCTCTGTGAGGCACAGTGGACGTGGGCTTCCTGGAGTGCACACGTGGACACGTGGTGGGGCACCTACCATGCTTTCCGTGGACTTGCTGGCAACTCCCAGCAGAAGGCCAGCCAGGAGGGCGAGGCTCCGCAGTGCCATGAGGGGGGGCAGGAGGGCGGGGCCTGCGAGGGAAGGGGCGCAATGGGGAGGGCGGGGCCTGCAAGCGGAGGGGCGCAATGGGGAGGGCGGGGCCTGCAAGGGGACAGGAGGGGAATAGGAGGGGGGGCTGTGAAGGGGGCGTGGTCAAACAGGGCGGAGCTCGGGCGCGCCAGGGAGGAGGGCGGCAGCAGACCCCGCCTTTCAGGGCAGGAGTGGTGCGGAGGTGGAGCCCTTACCTGCCCCTCCGAGGTGGGAGCCACCGACATCAGGCCCTTGCCTGCCCTGGGTGGTCAGTGGTCAGCGCGGCCGGAGCTCATGGGCCCGAGCGGAGCCCTGCGGACCTGCGCGAAGCGAGGGGGGGTAAGGACGGCCCGCGGCCGCGTGGACTCGGGTGGGGCTCAGTCCCTCCCCGCCGGCGTCGGACCATCTTGGCTCAGTCGGGACCTTAGGAGCCGAGGGCGGTCGCCCCTGTCACCAGACACATCCCGTCCCAGTGAAACCCTAATTCGGGGGCATTTCCACCCTGCAGCTTCCTGAGGGGCCGCGGGGTGCCTCTGGGCGACACGGGCCCATCTGGGACCCTCCTCTCCAAAGTTTTCTTTTTCACGACGGAAGAAGGCACGAAGACGTCATCTCGGGGTGACAAAAGGAAGCATCGGAGCTAGGGCCCGCGGGGGCCAGGCGCGGCCGGTGGCGGGACCCCACACACAGCGCACAGGCGCGACACGCGCGGAACCCCTCGACAGCCACGGGACTCAGTGTCGACGCCGGCTCCTTTCCAGAATGCAGGAGCCCACGCGCACCCTGCACAACCCCGCACAAGCAACGCCCTCTGTGATACTTTCAACACACTGCTGCTGACTTGCAAGGCGGTGGTCATAACCGTAGTCCGTCCCAAGCACCGCCGCCAAGTATCTTGACACACAAGTTACCTCGAACGCGACCCGGCCGCGCAGCTGCAGGCAGCCTCCGACTCCGGACCGACGTCAGCAGCAGCTGCCCCGTCACTTTCCGGTGGGTCTTCGGAAGAAGGCACAGAAGACGCTCCGGTTTAGGCCGGGGATGAGGACCGGCTCTCCGACTGGCCTCCGTGGTGGGCAGTCTCCCACCTTGGGGGTTCTGGGAAGAGACTGTTGTGGGCCCCGCGCAGCTGTGGGCTGCAGAGGGTGAAGGCTGCGGTGGCTGCAAGCTCTGGTCCCCTCGACAGGACGTCACTCTACACTGGGTTCAGGCCAGAGCCACCGGCAAACTGGCCACGCAGGAGGAACCGTGTCTGAGCGCCCCTCCCGATCCGGGGGCATCTGCCTTCTCAACGACAGTTTCAGCCACCCGCCCATCAAACATGCATGCTCCCCCAGAGCCCTCCTCTTCTCTGTGATGCGAGGTCCTTGGAGACAGCCACGTACTGGTGCCACGGCGGCAGCACACTCCTCACCTACAGGACGTGATTGAGTCTTTCCTTTTTATCCCTTTAACACTCCCTACCCCGCGGAAAACCCTGGACATCAGGGACCCTAAGAGGCATCCCCAGAGCCACGTCAAGTCACAAAACACCATTTCAATTCAGGAATCAGAGCCCAAGATTTCAATCAACACTTTCACCTGCTATTTAGTCTACTTTAATGAGGTATAATTTACATAAAATAAGCCACATCCACTTAAAGTGGGTTCTGACAAACTGCACTGCATGCCCGTGAAGCTGCCACCACAACCAAGACAGGGTGTCTCCATCACACGCACTCCTCTGCGGTCCCCCCTCCCTCAATCCCTGCCCCAGGCAGACACTGAGCTGATCTTGTCCCTGCAAATCAGCCTGTGTGTTCTGCAATTCTACATAAATGGACCATACGATACGCACACTCTGCGTCTGGCTCCTTCCGCTCAGCGTAAGGACCTCCAGAGGCGTCTGTGTTATTCGTGCTGCTTCGTGGCCGAATGGTCCTCCGTTGTGTGGTCACATCATCTCCCTTACCCACTCACCTGCTGGCAGATACCTGGGGTGTTTCTAGCTTTCGATGACTGTGAGTCCTCAAGTCCTAGAGACACCCTCGTACACGTCTTTATGTGAACATTGTCTGCATTTCTCCCGGGTAACACCCCGGAGTGGGACGGCTGGATCCCAGGGAGGCTGATGTGTAACTTTCTAAGAAACTGCCGAACTGTCTTCCCCGGTGGCTGTACCGTTTCACCTTCCCCCCAGCCGCGAGGAGGGCTCCGTTGCCGTGTCCTCAGAAACACCCCGTGATGATGGACAGGTGTGCAATAGTGTCTCATTGTCGTTACAATTTGCATTTCCCTGCAGACTGGTGATAGTCGGCATCTTTTCATGTGTTCAGTAGCCATTTATAGATCTTTTGTGAAGAGTATGTTCACATATTTTGCCCATTTTGTTTAACTGGGTGATCGTCCCATTATTGAGTTGTGACAGTTCTTTAAATATTCTTCATCCGATTTCTGTATGGCAAATATTTTCTCCCATTCTGTGCCCTGCCTTTTCATTTTCTTATGGGTATCTTTAGAAGAGGAAATGTTTTCCATTTTAATAAAGTTTTTGATAAAATTGAATGCATCCATTTTTCCTTTTATGGGTCTTGCTTTTTCTGTCCTAAGAAATCTCTGCCTCGACCACAAGGTCACTAAGATTTTCTGTTTTCTTCCAGAAATGTCACAGCTTTAGCTTTTACATTTTGAGTTACCTGTGTGAACGGTGCGACGTAAAGGCCAAGGTTCAATTTTTTCATTGTGTATGTCCAGTTTTTCTGGCACCGTTTGTTAAAAATACCTTTCTTTCCACATTGAGTTAATTATGTTGGCATCTTTGTTGAAAATCAATTGGCTGTAAGTGTATGGGTCTGTTTCTGGACTTCTGTTCCATTCACCTGTCTGCTCTTCACCAACACCACACTGACTCCATCACTGAGGCTGTGCAGAGTCTGGAACCAGGCCATACAAGCTCTGCTTTCCTTAATTGCTTTGGCAATTCTAGGTCATATGCATTTCCATATTTTAGAGTCACTGTCAATTTCTACAAACAAGCCTGCTGGAATTTTGACCAGGAAAACTGACACTTTAACAATATCAAGTCTTCTAATCCATGAACATGCTATCTCCGTTTTTTTTTTAAGTCTTCTTTTATTTCTCTCAGTGTGTTCTGTAGTTTTCAGTGAAGAGGTCTTGCACATCTTTTGTTAATCTTACTACCAAGTATTTTATTTTTTGTTATTGCAAATAGAATGTAATTTCTGATTTCATTTTCTAATAGTTTGCTGCTAGTATATAAAATACAATTAATTTTTGCACATTAACCTTGATTTCTGAGATCTTGCTAAATTCACTTAATAGTTCCAGCAGTTTTCTGTAAATTTCTTAGGATCTTCTACATAAATAATCATGTCATCTACAAATAAATGCAGTTTTACTTCTTCCTTTCCAATCTTGATGATTTTAATTTACTTTTTTTCTTACCTTAGTACAGTGGCTAGGACTTTCAGTACCATGTTGGACAGAAGTAGTGAGAGCAGGTGTTGTCTGTGTTCCTGATTTTAGGGATAAATTGTTCAATATTTCACCATTAAGTAGAATGTCTGGTGTAGGTTTTTCACAGATGCCTTTTATCAGATTGAAGGAGTTTCCTTCTACTGTTAGTTTGCTAAGAATTTTTTTCTTTTCTTTTCATCATAAAAGAGTTTCAAATGCTCTCCAATGCTTTTTCTGCATTTTCTCCTTTATTCTAGGAATATGATGATTTCACTGATTGATTTCTGAATGTCAAAAACAAGCTTGCATCACTGGGATAAACCCTACTTGGTCAAGGTACACAATCCTCTCTCTCTGTTGTTGGATTTGATCTGCCAATATTTTGTTAAGGAGTTTAGTCTGTGCTCGGGAAGAATATTGGTCTATGATTTTTCTAGATGTCTTTGTCAGATTTTTGGTATCAGGTTACATTACCTCATAAACCAAGCTGGGAAATCTCCGCCCCTTCCCTGCCCTTTTATTTTCTGAAAGAGTTTGTGTGAGATTAGAGTTATTTCTTCTTTGAATGTTTGATAGAATTCAATACGGAAACCATGTATGTATGCCAGGAGTTTTCTTGGTAGGTAGGTTTTTGATAATTAATGCAATTTCCTTAACAGATAGAGGGCTATTGAGATTGTCAGTAACTTTTCGTAAGTTATATATTTTTAAGGGATTTATCCGTTTCATTGAAGTTGCCATATTTACTGGCCCCAAATTGTTCATAATGGTCTCTGATTATTTTGTTATAATTACTGTAGAATCCTTAGAAGTAATGCCTCTTTTTTATTTTTATTTTTTTTGAGACAGGGTCTCGCTCTGTCATCCAGGGGTAGAGCACAGGCATCATCATAGCTCAAACTCCTGGGCTCAAGCATCCTCCTGCCTCAGCCTGTTGAGTAGCTGTGACTACAGGCGCCCACCACCACACCCCGCTTATTTTTCTTTCTTTCTTTTTGTAGAGATGGGGTCTTGCTCAGGCTGGTCTTGAACTCCTAGCCTCAAGCAGTCCAGGTGTGAGCCACCTCGCCCAGCCAATAATGCCTCTTTCATTCCTGATCCTGGTGATCTGTTATATCTCTTATTTTTTTAAAATTGACCATTCTTGGTAAAGGTCTGCCAATCATACTAATCTTTTGGGGAAAAAATATCAGTTTTTGGCTTTGTTAATTTTCTCTATTTTTTAATGCCTTCTATGACTGATTTCTGCATTTTTCTTTATTTCCTTTCTTTGACTTTGGGTTTACCTTGCTTTTCTTTTCCTAGCTTTTTTCTTTCTTTTTTTTTTTGAGACAGAGTCTCACTCTGTTGCCCGGGCTAGAGTGCCGTGGCGTCAGCCTATCTCACGGCAACCTCAAACTCCTGGGCTCAAGCAACCCTCCTGCCTCAGCCTCCCGAGTAGCTGGGACTATAGGCACATACCAGTGTGCCTGGCTAATTTTTTCTATTTTTATTTGTTTTGCTAATTTCTTTCTATTTATAGTAGAGATGGGTTCTCACTCTTGCTCAGGCTGGTCTCGAACTCCTGAGCTCAAGCAATCCTCCCGCCTTGGCCTCCCAGAGTGCTAGGATTACAGGCGTGAGTCACCCTGCCCAGCCTCTTTTCCTAGCTTCTAGAGGTGGAAGGTTAGGGTGCTGCTTTCATGCTTTTACGAGCACTTAACGCTACAGATTTCTTTCTATGTAATGTTTTACCTGTACCAGTATTGATATGCTGTATTTTAT